GAGGGTAGGAAGGTTCTGCAGAGGGACCTGGACAGGCTGGAGATCAATGGGGAGGCCAGTTGTATGAAATTCAACAAGGCTGAGTGCCTCCTGTGCTTGGGTCACAACAACCCCATGCAACGCTACAGGCTTGGGGAAGAGTGGCTGGAAAGCTGCCCAGCAGAAAAGGACCTGGGGGTGCTGTTTGACAACTGGCTGAATATGAGCCGGGAGAGTGCCCAGGTGGCCAAGAAGGCCAATGGCATCCTGGCCTGTATCAGAAATAGTGTGGCCAGCAGGACTTGGGAATAGATCGTCCCCCTGTACTTGGCACTGGTGAGACCACACCTCAAATACTGTGTTCAGTTTTGGGCCCCTCACTACAAGAAAGATACTGAAGTGCTGGAGCATGTCTAAAGAAGAGCAATGAAGCTGGTGAAGGGTCTAGAGAACGAGTCCTATGAGGAGCGGCTGAGGGAACTGAGGTTGTTTGGTCTGGAGAAAAGGAGCCTGAGGGGAGACCTAATCGCTTTCTACAAGTACCTAAAAGGAGGTTGTAGCGAGGTGGATGTCGGTCTCTTTTCCCAAGTAACAGGTGATAGGATGAGAGGAAACAGCCTCAAGTTGCACCAGGGGAAGTTTAGATTGGATATTAGGAAAAATTTCTTCATCAAAAGGGTTGTCAAGCACTGGAACAAGCTGCCCAGGGAAGCAGTTGAGTCACCATCCCTGGAGATGGTATTTAAAAGACATGTAGATGTGGTGCTTAGGGGCATGGTTTAGTGGTGGACTTGGTAGTGTTACGTTAACGATTGGACTCGATGATCTTAAGGGTCTTTTCCAATCTAAATTAATCTATGATTCTATGAACATCTCCTTCAATATTTCCCCATGCAAAAGTTAAATACAGCAGAAGCTAAGGTGTTGAAAAGAGTGCCCTAACTCACTGGAGATCAAAGCATGACGATTTTGCTCTAAAGAACGAAAACACTAAGGAAGCTGCTTGAAAAAAACTCACACTCAAATTTTCCTGTACTTAAGTTGATTTTGAAAGGCAAGGAAATCGCAGTATTAGCACAGCATTTTTCCAGTTACCTGAAATTTTCTGCCATCCTTCCATTCCAGGGTCCCATAGCCTTCTACATGGCCAAGATAAAGAGCTCCTGTGAATTTGGACCCATCAGGCCAGTAGCAAATCCCCTTCCCGTGGTGGTGGTCCATGTAGAACTGTCCCACATATCTCTGTAATCCACAAAAGAGGACAAGACAACTGACAGGACAGAAATAAGTGAAATTGCCTCCTTACTGCAACAGAGCAGGACTAACAAGGTGCACAGCATTGACACGTGAAGAGGGTGAATCTGTTACACACTTAAGAAAGACTGGGCACAGTCTCAACTCCATTTTAGTCATGGGCTTCAAAACTCAGCCAGGATTTTACCAATTTCTCTAGAAGCTCTTCCATCATGTAGCAATCAGTAGTTCACACTACTTCAGCACATGTATCTCAGCATTCATATCCTTGGATACACTGCCAAATGAAGCAGGCTAAACCAACATCTATTCAGTCGTTCAACAGCTTTCATAAAGACCTGTATGCCAATACATTTAGCATTCTACATTCAAAACAAAAGGGAAATCAGCAGAACTGCAAAGTCCTCAGTTGTCAGATGCAGGTGAAGTGACTGGATTAGTAAACCTTTATACACCACTTGCTTAAAAGATAAATATGACTGCTACTCCAAAACTGACACTTTTACACTTCAGTAGAAAGCACTGACAAAATGACATATCAATAGGTAAACATAGTGCTGGATTGTATGAAAGTAGCAGATGCTACTCAAAAGGTTGTCCATAACCCCCTCTCTCTTCAGTGAAGAAAACCTTAGTTACCAACCTGCTCATCTCTCTGTTCCTGACTGAAATTTGATCAATTGTCATTGATTTCAGTCACAAACACTTTAAGGTGTTCACTATTTTCAAGCAAAACCAGACATTTGGAAGATATTTTATATAATCAAGATTTGATAATTCAAAAAAATCCCACTTAAATCAAGATCTCAATTCCTTACTCCTTCTGGTGCATTAAAAATAATAAAATTTGCAGCCTTGCCACAGTCCTGGTATTTTGTGGCATAAAAGGAGTGACTACCTTTAGCTTAAAAAAAACCACCAGAACATTATGGTGGTAATAGCAACAGCACCCACAGCAACCATTTACTATTTTCTCTGAGACCAAGGACAAAGTCATCCAAGTGGGAGAGCTGAGGGTATTATCTGAAAACTTGTGTCCCAGGTTGCATTTTAGTCGTGGATGTGTTACCAACCCAGACATGGAGTAACAGAAACATTCAGAAGAGCAGTAAGGGCTGATTCACCTGGTGAACGTGCTCTCAGACATTACAGGGACGCTAAGAAAGCACTTGCCTTACTCAGAAATAAGCTGAAACTAACTAGGTTGGCACCAATACAGGGCAAGCAGGGAGAGGCAGGCCTAGGGAAACCTGCATTTCAGAGACCCCTCGCCTTACAACGAGGCGATGCCGTGGAAGCATTGCCTCCAGAGCACCCCTTCACGTGTCCCATGGGCGGACACGGCTCTCCAGTGAAGCACACAAAACCAGCCGGCGGGACAGGCGGGCACGGCAGTGGGAGGCCCAGCCGGGCCCGCGGGACGACCGTACTCGGGCGGGAGAGAGGCACCGCCTCCGGCGGCCCCTCTCCTCGCCGGGCTCAGGCCCGCAGTCCAGC